AGCAGAGGAGGAGCGCCCATCAGAAGTAAGTCTCGCCGAGCAGAATGAGGGGTGACCTCAGCAGGAGAGAGGGAGAGGCGACCCCAGCAGTAGAAGGGCACCCAATGAAAAAAGGTGATTCCAGCAAAAGTGGGTCTCGCCAGTCGCCGAGCATAAAAAGGGCACCCCAATTCTATAAGAGGTTGGAATAAAAAGTAAACTGCAATTCGTTATAAATTCAATTGATTGATTGATATTCGTGCAAACGAATTTAATGTTATTTCATAACACCCAACTTTGTACCATTGGACTCATATGCATCCATAGGCGTCGCCAAAGATTTTCGGTTGGGGGGGGACAAAATCCAATTTGGTCTTTAACCCGGCACCGCCTGGGCTATTTCCGTACCCACGGCAGCCTGGGAATGCAATGGAATGCAATGGTGATACAGTTTTTCCTCTAGCTATGAAATGTAGAAAGTATTTTTTTTTTAGGATTTCCTGGGCAAAATCAGTTACGTCAGTTAAAAACGTTAAAAAACGTCAGTTAAAAACCCATTACGTTAGTTTAGCAGGGTAGAGCCTATTAATGGGAAGGATACAATGGGTCTGTAGGGCCCCTCCCCCTCCCTCCCTCGGACGAGCCCGTGCAGATGATCCCAAACCTTATCCAGAAAAAAGAGTTGCAAATGATCAAGGAAATCGGTTCGCCCTTCTAAAAATCCATATTCTAGCATGCTCAGTTTCCGTGATGGATTTATCGGTGCCTTCGACTCGAATCCGACCCCGGCTTCCAAAACCGACTTCGACTCCGGTCAGAGCTGTCGACTCCGACCGACTCCGACCCCGACCTCGCAGCCCTGCTCAGAGGCACACGTAGCCCCTCTATGATAAGGCCCGTGTAGGTCTTCATAGGCCTGTCGTAAGGATGGTCGTCAAAGTCGAAAGGGCCCTCAGAGACTACCATGGGTCCGCCCCTTGCACACCGATGGACCCTCAGAGAGACCGGCGGAGGCCCTTAACCCTCGCCGGACCTATTGGTTTTCTACATACGCCCCGGCCGAGGGGGGGGGGGCGGGTACGACCCCCCCTCGCCGTTTCGCCCCTGGTGGAGCTAGCGCGTCGCGGAAAAAACGAGCGTGTGCGCCGTTACGAGACGCAGAGATTGGTACCCGATTTTAAGGTCCTAGGTCAACCGGTGACCTCTGAGGTCAGGTCAAGTGCCCAAAGGTACGGTTCAGTTTTTGGTGAATAACTTCGCGGAAAATGGCCGCAGAGCCGCGATTTTGGCAGCATCGTGTTTGCCTCGCTCAGGCGCGTCGAATGATATACTTTTTGTTCGGGTCAGGTCAACTTGGGGTGTTGACCTCAGGTCAAGGTCAGGTCAGCACCCTAAGGTCACGAAGTTGGTCGAAAGAGGTCATGTCGCATATCATTCGATTCGGCAGGTCTTCCTGAGTCCATTGGTGGCTTTCCCGGCTCGCTAGCTCAATTTGATCAAGAGTTATTGACGAAAAACTAACATGACCTTGATGACGTCATAAATGACGTCACGAAAGGTCAACATTGCAAAAGTGACGCATCAAACCTTGCAAGGAGTGCATCAAATCACGATTCTGTGTGCTTGAGATAGTTGGAGATCGTTCCCGGCGCCAGAATAGCAGTTTGGATTTTTCCCCATTGACTTATAATGGTGAGGTCACGAAAATGACCTGACCTCATATGACCTTTAGGAAAAATCCGAGATATACAAGTTGTGAGACTCATAATGGATACTAGATCCTGCAAGTTTCATTTCCCTGTGACATCTCCTCTGGCAGTGAGGGCGTTGCGAAGTTGCGACATCTGAAGACCGTGCAGAGGTTCACTTATGACGTCATAGGTCAGTGACCTGACCTGACCCAAAAATGCGGTTGGTGTCAAAAGATGCGGCTTGGATCAAAGGTCAGGTATGCCAAGTTTCAGCTCTCTACCGCCGGCGTGTTCGGAGCTATCGCGAAAAAACCCTATGGGGGCGGCGGCACCCGCCCCCCCCCCCTCGGCCGGCGAGGGTTAAAAGGACTGCCAAAGTGGCTCTCAAAGATTTGCACCCGAGCCTTCAGAATCAGCGTTGGAAGATCGTAGTGGTGTTCATAAGTGCCGGCCTGAGGGCCCTCAGAGGTCAGTTTGGGTCCCTCGGAAGCTAGCGTGGGATCCCTTCTTAGAGTTCAGTGGGACTTTTTAGGAGCCTACGCACGGCCCTCGTTAGCCCTGTGGCACTTTAACGGCACTTGAACATGTCACAGACCTTTGGCCAGGGTCGGAAAAGACCCCAACCCAACCCCGAATTTTTCGAGCTAGGTCTTGACACAAATTTCGTGTCAGCGTGCTAGACTGGTGAAACCCGAGTGTAAAATTCAGCTAACACCAGCTAAGACATGGATTGAATCGAAGTTTTGATATGTTCGATTCTGGAGTCGAAGTCCTGAATGTTTTGGCGACTCTCATTCCGACTCTGGCTGGGACTCGCGAGTCCAACTGATTTTGACTTCACAGCCATTCTTCAAAACTACCCCCACTTCTTGCCGACCCCAAAATCTCATCGGATCTGCATCGATCTCAGGGGTGCCCGGTTGAAGGTTGGGGGGGGGCAAGCTGCCCCGCTTGCCCCCCCCCCCCGTGGCGACGCTAGTGGTCTTGACACTAAAATTTCGTGTCAGCGAAGGTACTAGACGGACCCGGTCTCTGCGCGTGGACGGAGCGCTGCTCCCGAGAGGAGGTAAGGGGGCCGCTCCCAGCTCCACAACAGTGTTGAAAACCGAGTGTAAAATTCAGCTAACACCAGCCAAGACATGGATTGAATCAAAGTTATGATACGTTCGAGCCTGGAGTCGAAGTCCTGAAAATGTTGGCGACTCTCACTCCGACTCTGGTTGGGACTCTCGACTCCAACCGATTCTGACTTTACAGCCATTCATGAAAACTACCTCCCATTTTTTGCCGACCCCAAAATCTCATCGGATCTGCATCGATCTCAGGGGGAGCCCGGTCGGGGGTTGGGGGGGGGGGGGGCAAGCTGCCCCGCTTGTCCCCCCGTGGCGACGCTAATGTATAATGTATGCACCATCTATGCACCTTGGAAGCGCCCCTATCCTCATTGAAGGTCCCCCCCATCACCAAGTGCACCCCCATCTCAAAAGCAAAAGTTACACCCTTGGTCATGACCCATGCCTTTGCTAAGGTCAAGTTTTCATTACAGGCCATCATTAATTAGTAGCGGATCGACGAAAGAAACACGATGGTGGTGATGATGTCATACAAACCCGATATCTAATGATAACCAGGTATAAATAAAAATGGCACTGCCCCTTTTGTTTTAAGGAGTACAAACCAATAATTGAAGGTCAAGCATGGATGCACGTCTAAGTAGGATCCTCTTAATCCTACCTTCCCGTCTTGTCGTAACTCATTACATTTGTCATCATCGTAAATCCTCTCCCGTAAAAATTCTGAGACTCAAACTGCTTGTGAGAGATCTTCGCAAAGTATTTACATCAAAGCTCCAATCTCCACGCACCACATCCCGATCCCGACCGTGGCATTGGCATGACGCGTGGACGTGGCATGCAAGAGCGAATTGAATATTCTATTTGACCTCGGTCGCAAACTCACCCATAACGCCAGGGGTCCCTCCATGAACTCCTCTGCTGCGTTTTTTGTCGCCATGGCTCCTCGCTCGACCGCTCCGTTCGCAGTCGCCGCACGCGTGTTCCGTCCCCACAGTTCACCACTCGGAGGGAATCGCGGCGCCGCCTCCGGTGCCACGCATGGCCCTCCGCACTGGGCTTGAGGCTGCTAACAACCCTGCTGGTGACGTCCCACCTTCACCAGCGCAGACACAAAAGGCTAACGGGGAGCACACGCGATAGCGACACCCACCCCACCGCACTCCGCTCGCGTCTGCGGCCCGCGGTCGAGCGCCGGCCGGCAACCGCCCCAGGCGGCGGATAGATGGCGACACCGGCGGGGCAAATCGATGCAGCGTGCAGCTGTTGAACTACTGTTACCTGTTGCTACCTCTAGGTGGTGCCAGGCCCCTGAAGGATGGTGCAGATGCCGTGCATAATACCGCTAAGAAGATCATCACTCTGCATTCGGGCCGCAAGAGAACCACCTCTCGCAAATACGGAGCGGAGACCCAAGCATCACAGACAATACCTATCCGGAAACACAATTTCATACTAATTACTAGCGTTTGAATATACGTGATGTAATGAGCACTAAAATGTGCACCGTTCCGTGCCTCTATCCTCAGGATACTGAAATCCTTCTCCTCCACGCCGCAACCTCCCTCAAGGCTCGACAGGCAACTTTATCTCATGCGGGCTGCTCCCTTGGAGCGGCACCGCTGCTCCCGAGGGAGCGCACCCCGTAGCCGGGTGCAGTGAGTGCCTTGGGGCTGGGTGGCCTGTCCTCTGGACGGGCTCAGCCCCGGCGACTCACTAGGGTGCCTGCCCAGACCAATGTCTCCCCCTATATCCTATCATCCTCCCGGCTCTGAAATGGTTTAATTGGACCGAAAGGGCCTAACCCAACAAAAATAAACAAACACTAAAATGTCATTTTCTGCTCCGATAGGGTCAAGAGGAAAACGGATCCAGCGATGTCATCGATGTCAGATTATTTTGCGTAGCATAAGGATGCTATTTAAGTATTGATAAATGTATAACTCGAGGACACTGCAACCACGGAATATACAAAACTATTGCAATAAATACCAATATCATGAATTACTCTAATTTCCATCACTTGTAGACATTTTCCTCTATCTGGCAGCAAACTTCAGCGAGCGTTCATGGCGCAGGTTTGACATTTGAGTCTCGAAACACTGTTCAAAAATAAAAAAAATATCAGCAAGTATCATAGCAACTCATTAGCAAACAAGTATTTATGCAGCAGTTGCCTAGCAACAGCTGATTACACTCCGCATGATTGCTTCGAATTATCTTTAGTGAACACTTCTTAACAATATTTTGTTGTCTTTTTCTGTTATTATGTTACGCAATATCAACAGTTTTTCAGCTTATACACCAATTATAGGGCTCACGCCGTCGATTTAGATTAAATCAACTCCAAGGAGAAACTCAGCTTCAATATAAGTAAGCATTTTTCCAACAAAAGCAAGGGAGGGTCGCCAGTCACCACCCTCTTACCTACGGCGACACCTCACTGTCGCGCTTGTGTTGTTCTGAAAGTCAAGGTGATTTTGGCAAATTTGGGGCACCAATTTGGAATGTTTCATCAATGCTGATGCCTTTTTATGAATTCCAACATGAATTCCAATGATTTTCATAGATATTTCCAATTTCCATGGTACCTCTTTGCTTGAAGTTGCATTGAAAAGTGCTTAGATTATAGGAAGGATTATGGGAAATTGCAAGCGAACAAAACCCAGGAAGTTTGGTATTGTATACAAGTTAATGTAACAAATGATTCAGTTTTCCTTTTGAAACTGTCTCTGGCCTTGTGTTGTCAATAATATGTCGAGATCTGATTAATTAGATATTTTCTCTTTTCTTCCAGGACCGTAACAGCAGGACTTCCTCATTTTAAAAATGGCTTCCAGGCTGCTGTTTGCATGTTATAGGATGGGTGGAAGGGCTATGGTAAGTTTATATAGACCTGCGGTTTCTTGACAGCGCTTTGTACTTGGGTAGGTAGTGTTTCTTAATTCTTGGTTTGGTACCTTTGTCTGCGGCTTAAATTTAAACTTTGGTGTGATTATAGGTAGCATTATCAAGTGTGGTTGATGCCTATTAAAATCTAGCCAATGTAATGCACTATTTGTTGTTCTTTTTCCTACAATTTTAGCAATGTTGTTTCATTTGAGTTGTGACATTTTTACCCAATTGTGAGTGGGGGCATCATAATTTTTGTGGATTCTATTTACTGATTTTGTTGGCTTTGTTTTGTTTGGCATGGGCTGCTTCATATTTTCAGCCTGGCTGGCAAAGACTGGTGCAGACCCCTCTGGCTGGTGTGGCTTGTTCCTCATGCTGCAATCTTTTTCCTCCCCCCCCCCCCACACACACACATACGGCATCTTAAGGCTCATGCCACGCCGCCCACTCAGGTGCCTGCTGTTCCCTATCTCCACAGACGGCGGGTCCGGCGCGGCCGACGCTGGCCGTCGCCGCCGCTCGCCAGTTTCACGGCTCGGCGCAGAGGCTGGCTCTGCTCCAGATCAGCGACCGGGAGGACTTCCACGAGCGCGTCATCCTCAGCCCGATCCCCGTCATCGTCAACTTCCACGCCGACTGGTGCGAGCCCTGCAAAGACCTGACGCCCATGCTGGAGCGCCTTGTGAAGCCCAAGAGAAACCTCAACCTCTGCTCGGTAAGTGAAAATCATCTCTTTATTTCCTATTCATCTTTTATCATTGTTTATTCCTTACTGTAGGATGTAGATGCAGTTTTTTCGTCTAGCAATCTTAATTCATCGTTAAGAAGGTTGATTGCTTGAATTTTATTCAAATACGCTTGGAATACATCGGCATCGGCACTTCCCGCCTTTTATGTCCGGTATCATCGGCGGTGGACCCGTTTTAACGGCTTTATGTGTAGATGGAAGCAGACTCCTCCTGACTATGTTGTCCATGCTCTTTTCTACACTTGTACGATCTCTCTTCTCTCCCCCTCTTATTTCTCTTTCTATCCTCTTCTGTGCTCTGCTCTTCTCTCATGTTTTCTGTTCATCGTTTCGCAGCTGGACATCGAGAACCACGTAGACCTGCTGCAGGACTTTGAGGTGCAGGCCGTGCCGGCCGTGCTCGCCTTCTTCAACGGCCAGGTGGTGGAGAAATTCGTCGGCCTCGTCAACGAGCAGATCGTCACCGACTTCGTGGGCAAGGTGATCGGCCGCCTGAACGCCTACACCGACCTCCAGGCGGCGCAGAAAGAGCCGAGGGACTCGTAGCGCCCGCGGTCGGCGGATGGGGAGAGACTGAGGACCGGGGCGGCCGCCGGAGAGTGCAGGCTGGGCAGGCAGGAGGACGGAGGAGGACAGTGTGGGCCAAGGAGGACGGATGAAGATCGGAAGAGGATGGAGAGGAGTGCAGAGGAGCGGAGGTCTATAGAAGAGAGGAGGAAGATAAGTATCGGAGGAGTGCAGTGTATCGGAAGAGGACGACCAGTGCGGTGGTATTCAGCTCAGTGCCGATGGACAGAATCACAGACTGTGCTGGCGGTATTGGGGAGTGACGAGACAGTGTCGTGGCCTTTGTGCACGGAGGCCGAGAGAAGTGATAATCGACTCTGGAAGACGGACGGGCTGACCAGACGGTAAGCGAGTTCTGAGCGGTGAGGCCAATGGGCTAGATTGGTGGAAATCGCCAGGGGGAAGTCAAACTATCACAAAAAGCCACATCAGGAACGTGAAATAGTGGCGAGAGGCTGATACATATTGATATGCGTGCTGTTCTTCGTTGTGAATTTTAAGACCCGAGAGGATTAAATGAAGCGGCTCAATTATCGTGTGAGCTAAACTGTTGTGTGTGCTCAACTATCTGCCCGGTTCATGGCACGCTACCTCCGTGCCGTGACTTAAATATCTATAACCACTAATCGCATGGTCTTTCGAAGGGGTTCATGTGGTTTTGAAGTAAAAATCCTATATGTAACAAGCCAGGAAAACGTGTGTTTTTTTACCCCGCCCCATCATGTAACCTTACTTGCCAAACGCTTCATCCGTTTTCGAGTGTGGTGTAAGATCAGGTTCGGTTTTTGCAAAGCCCAGGCGTGGGCAAATTACGTAGCGGCACTTGCCAGTAATTTTCAACAGGTCGTGTCACGGTTGAATGTTGATACGCAGGCCCTGATAGTCCCGCAGCCAGCCGTGCGACTGCCCAACCTTTCCGGGCGTGTCAGTCTGGAGCTGAGCCTTTAGTGACCTGGCCCACGGGGTGACGGGCAGGGCAGTGTCTGAACTGACCGGGCAGGTGCAAATAGGGTCCCCGGTCACATATGACCGACGACGGGCCACCAGAGGCGGGCTTCTCTCCCCTCGGCGGTGGAGGAGCTCGTGTGTGTCTAACTCAAACCCAAGAAACAGAAGAGTGTATAAAATGCTATGTCTTTGGTCCAATACATTGTGTGCGTGTGTAATGGTCTAATTCTTAAGTTCTCAGTGTGAACGCTAGAACATTTGAAGCCGCTGGCTATCGCTAAGCGACTGCAGGCTCTTCAAACTTAGTCTCGTCGAATCACATTCGCCTCTAAACTTTAATATCAACATACAGAATAGCAGGTCAAACCTGTTTCATATATTTCATGTACATAAAAAGAAGAAATGACTCGATGAAAGCTAGCCAGACCAAGCAATAAATACTACAGGGTGTTGCAGGTAAATTGGGAATTTTCAGGCCTTATTTCAACATGCTATTAATACGGTGAATGAAAACACAGAAAGTTGAAAATTCGCACGTGTATTGTGTCATGTACGCACAGCCTTGTCACTCGAGGTGACCGCCGTCGGCGTCCCGCACCCTCTCGAGACGGCGCCGGAAAGCGGAGCACGCGCGCCGGGCCTCGTCCTGGTCAATGGTGCTGACTGCCTTCCTGATGGCCTTCTTCAGGTCAGAAACGTTGGCAGGAGTGGTCGAGTTGGACTTTTGTTCTACCACGCCCCACACCCAAAAGTCGCATGGATTCAAGTCAGGCGAGTTGGAGGGCCATATGTCCTTGGGTACATATAGGGGGATCCTCTGGCTCAGGAAATCTTGCACCCTCTGGGAAGCATGTGCTGGGGCGGAGTCTTGCACCAGCATGACTTTACTCAAGTCATAGTATTTCATCATCCAGGGGATGAGAGACTCCTTCAGGATGGTCAAATACGCGTCAGTGTCGATCATCACACCAGCAGGCATGAAATGGGGCGGCATTATGCGGCCATCACTTGCGACGGCCCCGGACACCATTACTGATGCCGGATTTTTGCCTTTCATCACGGGAGCCACTTCATCAGGGCTGTAGGCGATAGCCCGCGAGTTCCTGCGGTTGGCGACCTCTTCTACGATGAACTTTTTCTCATCGACAAATACTCTGACGTCACTCCCGAGGTGCTTGAGGAGATTGAGGACCTTCGGTGCCCTCTCCCTTCGTATCGCTCTTGCTGGTTCGGTCAGGAGGCTTCGTCGTTTTCTGGTAAACGACTTCATCCCGAGGTCCTCTCTCACGGCTCTGCTGATGGTGCTCTTGCTCACGTGACGGGCACGCGCAAGCTTGTTCATCGAGGTCCTCGTTTTGGCCTGTATCGAGCGTTTCAAGCCGCTCAGGAATGTTGGTGTCCGTTTTCGGTCACTGCGAGGTGTGTGAGAACGTCGAGCGACATCCCCTCCAGCTCCTACAGTCGCGATAGTTCGGTACACGGTAGACTTTGGGTACCCAGTTAAACTTATTATGTCCTTCGCGCTCTGTCCGGCGCGAACTAACTCACCAATCGTTTCCCTCCGACGCTGCTCCATGACTGCGCGATATGTTAGGATTAAAATTTCAATATCAAATGAAAAACAATTGTTGAAATTATATTGTGTCAAATTTCCACGATGTTCCTCCGCATACCATATTTTTTGTAAGGTCATGAACTTAGTCCCAATTTATCTGCAACACCCTGTATATCAACTAAAGAGCGCCCATGACATGACCCGCTCACCGAGTGAAAGACTCCAAATGGAAACTGGCACCATCTGACACCGAGCGTGGGTCACTGAGACAACCCTGGCCAAGCGCGATTCAATGAGTCAATGAGACATACTTCCTGAGCGTCCTCTCCACCAAACGGCTCCAACAATGTCCCTGGCAGCAGAGCATATTGCACAAACGAGAACTTGTCGCCAAAAACGTACACACATCTACTTAAGTACGCATTAAGCAGACAGGAATTTAAACAGTTGGAACATCTAACGCCTACCACCGTGATCACTCTTGACTCTACACAGCTCTTGCCTCGATGGCACCTTAACATCGGTGGACAAACTCCAAACAGCAAACGAGTTCAGCCATCACCCAACATTACAGTACCGTTCCTAAAAACAGCTCAAGGCAGGGAAACCCGCTCGGCAAGACCACGGCCCATTCGATAAGCTCACTGTGACTGCAATGATGACTAGGGTCACTGGGTCACTGGACGTGGTGGGAGACTAGCAGTCAATCCGACGGAATCCTCTGGTACTTTCGGCCATGGTCCCTAGCGACCGCCCTGTCCTGGCCACTACACTACCAGTAGTACGTGTACTTCCAGTTCCAATTAAAATTGGGTGGATGTTCAAGAGATCGTGCTGGTTACCTCTTAGAGCTGTGCGTAAAGCGTGTTACCAGCTAGCCACCGAAGACTCACAACCATCCAAAGTCGGCGGCATCTACGGCGGCTCGATGCCGTGCAGCCTCAGCACCTGCCGGAGTTTCTCGACCTCTCGGTCTTTTTCGGCCAGCTGGCGGCGCAGCTGGCTGCAGGTGTTGCGCAGCAGCCGCTCGGTGACAGCTGCCTCGTGTCGGCAGCTGTCCAGCTGCTGCGCCAGCTGTCGGCCGCGGGCGGCCCGCGCCTCCAGCAGCCGGCCCTGGTGGGCGGCGGCGGCCTCCAGCTGCAGCAGCCGATCGGCGGCGCTGCTGAACAGCGGAGAGGTGAGCAGGTGCGCCGCGCACGGCCGGCGCGCGCGCTCGTCGTCTGTCAGCGCCAGCACGGCGTCCGCCACGGCCGGCCAGCGCGCCGTCACGTCCTCGGCGCAGCGGCGCTCGTGGCGCAGCCGGCGCAGTTCGCCGCTGCGCTCCATGGCCGTGGTAAACGGCGCAAACAGCTCGTACAGCACCACCCCCAGACTGTACAGGTCGGTCGACTGGTCGTAGTCGCCACTAGCAGCCTGCTCGGGGGACGCGTACGTGGCCGTACCCACACCGCAGGTCTGATCACCAGGTCGGGGACTGCCTCCACCACAGCTCTCAGCGCAGTCCCCAGCGGCCGCGCGGACCCGAGCCAGACCAAAATCGCCGATCATCGCGCGCCCAGAAAAGGCCAGGAATATGTTGGCCGGTTTGAGGTCGCGGTGGATGATGCCGCGCTGGTGGATGAAGTGAAGTCCCAGCAGCACGTCCCTGAGCAGCCGTCGGCACCCCTCCGCATCCACACGGCTCAGCCGGTCCCCCGCAGCCGCGGACGCCGGCGGCGGGGCCAGGTTGCGATCATGCAGCCAGTCCTTTAGTGTCCGCTCGCACGGCTGCATCTGGATGTAGAGCGTCAGCCATCCGGCGGTGGCGGCCGGAGCAGAGAGCGTTCGCCGGTACCGGGGCACGCAGCACTGCGCCACGGCGCACGCCGAGGCCGCCGACAGCGACCGGGTGGCCTGCGCGTGCCGGGCAGCCGCCGAGGAGACGCTCGTCGAGCCGGAGCTACTGCCGGACCCCGCCCAGAAGCGGCCCCCGCCGCCGCGCGCGGCGCCAGTCCCTCGAGCACCGAACGTCCCTGCAGGCAGCACTGCGGGCGCGGAGCTTCCTGAGGAGCCGTTCTGCGACAGAGGCGCCGCTGAGGCGTCGGTTCGGGACGCTGTCGGCTCCTCGGAGCTCAGCGGATCGGCCCCCGCCCGTCGGGACTCGGAACTGTCCGGGGTTCGCGCGGACGCCGCCGCGACCCTGTTGAACACAACACCCGACGAGCTGTCATGACTCGAGGTGCCGTTTGAGTTCTGAGCCGACTCCGGTCCGGCACTCAACACCTCAGCAGTGTGGTTTTTAGTTTTCGAGTCGCGCTCCCACGTCACCTCAGAGCCCACGGAGCTGTCGGTGGCCGGTAGACGCTCCCGCTCTGGCAGCGCGCTCACCGACCCCAGCGACCCGGCGCCGGTGTTCGTCTCGCCCTCAGCCAGCTCGGTCCAGGCGTCTGACCCGCCGGCGTTCCGCCGACCGGTGGGCCGCGGCCCGCCCGCCTCCAGCCAGGCCGTGTTGTACTTGACAATGTTGGGGTGATCCAGCGAGGCGAGCACGGTCACCTCGCGCAGCGTCCGCTCGGCGGCGGCCGCCGACCGGCACCGGAACGGGATCCTCTTGACGGCGTACTCCTGTCTGTCCACCAGACTACGGCACCGGCTGACCACGGCGAACCCGCCGCTGCCCAGCAGCGAGAGCTCCTCGAACTCGGTCCGGTAGCGGGACGGGTGCAGCAGCGGCGCGGACGGCTCCGAGGGCGCCGGGCCGAGCAGCGGCGCGTCCGTCAGAGGGCCCGGCAGGGAGGCGCGGTGAGCCGCCACCAGCAGGTCAGCGAACATCTGCGGGAACACAGAACCGGGGGCGCTGAGATCGCTTAGCGCTTCTGCGATGTTCAAAAGGAAACGAACTACGGATTAGCTGAACAATTAATAAAAGAAATATCGGGCAAATTAAATCCAAGTTGTGTTACTACATGAACACCATTAAAGGGACCCTCCCACCTTAACATTAGATTTGAGTTGAGATAGCCAAAATGGGGTCCCTGGCTCACAATTACCGGTTTCGGCACTCACAACATCGAGAAATGCCTTAAATCGGAAATATTGAATTTCAAAATTGCAGCATTTTGATTCAGAGGGGCTAATGCTTAGGAATACCCCTCTGAATGTGTGACGTCAGCGCAAATATCTAACGATTTTTAAATGTTTGACTAAAACGTTTTGTAGCACGCGGTGGTATATGCTATTTGCGCGCAACATCTGCCGCAAACGCCGCACTTCTAAAATAAAGTCGCTAGAAACAGCGGAGATCCCAAAAAAGTAAACAAAAGTAAAAGTCTAATATCTTGAAAACCGGTGAATATTTTTCGGTGAAATTTGGTAGATATTCGTTTTCGCTCTTTCTGAACCGAGCGACATCACTTTCATGCCAATTCATAAACTTTTTTGAAGGTGGGAGGGTCCCTTTAACAGGGTCCATATCTAAGGTGAATACGGAAGACTTCTCACATTTACAATGCCACAATCGTGGTCATTCACCACAAAACATCCGACAAATCAGCAGATTCGCATGACCCACGATCCGGTGCCGCAGCTGATGGCAGTCCATGAGACATTCTCACCCTCTGTGTGAGCCACTCTCACCTTTTGGTACATGTGCCGCAGCGGGTCGAGCTGGTCGCTGTGCGGCGGCAGCAGGCGCATGCTGACCAGCTGTCGGTGTACCAGTGTGTACATGGAGCGCCAGTCAGTTCCGCGCTGCGAGCGACACGCCAGCTCCACCAGCGCCTGCCGAACGGAGGACGGTGAGACACAAACGACACGTGAGCGAGACGGCCCGCGCAGCGGTCCTGGATGCAGTTTGCGGGCGGAGTGATTACCAAAGTGTAACAACAGGTACAACACACGGATCCAAGTCCTAACAGAATCATATCATTTAGGTGAAAATATTGGACAAACATCATACAAGTTTACAACAAAGAGCCACATCATGCCGAAGTATCCTGGCTGCAACCGATCAGGCGGCCGAACTGATCTACCTCTAGGGATCCTGGACTGACCTCGATGGTGAGATAGCTGGGCACGGCCGTCTCGATCAGCTGCGCCACGGTGCCCGAGTCGGCGGCGCCCGCCGGGCCGCCGTCCAGTGCGGTGACGGGAGCCGGCAGCGGCGGCAGGGCGCCGAGGGTGCGCGGCCGGCGGCGGCCCCGGCCGGCCACCGGCACCGACCCAGCGCTCCGGCACGGCGTGGGCATGGTTCAGCTCATCACTGGGGGACGGGACAGACGGCATTCAAAACACTGTGCTGCTGACTGCAGTCAGGTTTAGATTGGTCATGGGTGTCATGAATGAGTCTGCAGTGGAATCAGAGAAAAAGTATGCATGACATGATGCGCATGAAAATATATATGGTTTCCTGACAGAAGAACAGTAAGAACTGATTAACTGAACCAGTGGCAACTGAACCAGTGGATAACTGAACCAGTTGATAACTGAACCAGTTGACAACCTGAGTGAGTGACTAGTGAACCAGTGGACAACTAAAACCAAGGCAGCTGAATAAGTAGAAAACTGAACCAGTGGACAACTGAACAATGGACAACTGAACCAGTTGAGAACTTAACCAGTGGATAACAGCTGACCACTGTGGACAGCTTAACCAGTGGACAGCTGAACCAGAGGATTACTGAAACAGTAGATGGTTGAACCAGTGGATGACTGGGCCAGTGACAACTGAACCAGTGGATTACTGAACCAATTGATAACTGAACCAATAAACAACTGAACCAGTGGACAACAAAACCAGTGTGTTGGACAAATAACCAGTAACAACTGAACCAGTCACAACAGCTGCACTGGTTGATAAATCACAAGTTACTGTAGGTACCAGTTGAAAACTGAGATGCTTTTATTTTGATCAGCCAAAAGTGATGTCCTTATATCAGCGTTATGTGCCAGCTGATTCTTGGATGTCAAATTTTAGCATAACAAGCAAATGTAACTTCCTTCTAAGTTCTAAGAAGCATTGCAGCCCCTAACCCTATTGGTAAGTCATTCTGCCTGTGTTTGACATCAAGAAATCTGCTGACACTGGATAGAGATATCAAGAGAGACAATTTTTTGATTATGTATGAAGTGTCTCCATTTTAAACCTGATCAGCTGTCTCATCACCAGTTCATTTTTCCACTGGTTCAGCAGTTACTGGTCCAATTCTAGACCATGTCCAGTCTGGTTCAGCACTGGTTCAGATGTTACTGGTCCAGTTCTATCTAGACTATGTCCAGCTGTCCACTGGTTCAGCTGTCCACTGGTTCAGTGGTCCATTGGTTCAGTTGTCTACTGGTTCAGTTGCCCACTGGGTCAGCTGTCCACTGGTTCAGTTGTCCACTGGGACAGCTGTCCACTGGTTCAGTTGTCCACTGGGACAGCTGTCCACTGGTTCAGTTGTCCACTGGTTCAGTTATCCATTGGTCAGTTGTTTACTGGTTCAGCTATCCACTAGGTAGTAGGTTCAGTTCTCCATTTCCATTGGTCCAGTAATCCACTGGTTCAGTTGTGGTTCAAACGCAGTTCACACTTGCCCGTAAGGTCTGCCGGTGACGGGCCCGACACCGTCAAAACGGCCGAAACCGACGGAGTGACGGCCGTCAGGTCGACGGGCATGTGTGAACCGGCAGCGTTTGACGGCCGGCAACAGCTGACTGCGCCGGCGCCGGACCTGACGGCCGTCGCTTTGGAAAGTTCAGCAATGTTCAACTTTTGACGGTGACGGGCCCGTCGGTTTGAATGTCTGCGTGTTGGAGGAAGACGAAAAGGAACCTTCTCATGCAGCATGAAGCTTATGTGCATTTTTAAGATCATTTGTACCATTTTCCATCCATTTGTTGAGATGAAAGTGTTTATTACGGCACGATATCTTGAGATTCGATCCCTAATTTAAATCAGCGAACCGATGTGTCTTTCATTTAAATTAAATTGCAGCATTATTTGACATAAAAATGTAATTTTATTTCTGTAATTCAAAGAATATTTTTAACCTCGGCCTCTACCGTCCCCCCCCCCCATCCCCTTCCCCCATCTGCGTCAATCTCGAAAATGGTGCGCCATTTCTGTCACAACATATGGCAGCCAATGGGAGCTACCAAATCTCAACTTTCGTTTGACGGGCTGCAGGCCGTCAGGTCGACGGTGACGGGCCCGACACCGACAGACTGACGGTCATGTGTGAACTGCGTTTTAGTTGTTCACTGGCTCAGTTGTGCACTGGTGCATTTATTCACTGAAGACAATGACAAAGGTGTAGGGGTTAGTCACAAGTCAGATTACAGCACCAACAATCCCAATCCTAGATATTGAACGTAATGCTGAATCTGACAGGAAAAAAAACTAAAATGACCTATGATTGAGATAGCTTAATTTCTTGGATGAATTTGAATCTGAATTTGGCATTTCATTTTTACAATGGGCCAATGTGAGGGTCACAACAGGTCACAAGTTGTCTATATAAATAACTAATAAGGCTAGCTTGATCAAGATAAAGATAAAGATCAAAACTGACTGACTCACCTCAATAATGACCATACTGAAGACCACAGCCAAGGTGTAAGGGGCTAGTCAGGTAGGTACATCAAAAATGTAACACTATAAAACCATAGGCTTGTGTGACACCCCCAAAATAACTGCAGGAATGTTAAAAACAATTGAAAAGGGTACTCAAACCAAATTGAAATAGCACATGGAGTTCTATATACCCTGCATGGAACACTCGCGACTTCTTGCTTCCTTTTTACCGTCGGAAAGGAAGTTTTTGGTTACTTGGTAAAATATTTTTACGCTAGGGCTACCAAATTATTTTAAAATAGCTGCCAGATGAATTTGTCTCCACAAATGTGCGCCACTTTTGCCGGCGCATGCTAAACTATACGGCGTAGAACATTCAAGGTTGTAGAGAAACGGAAGGTAGTGTAATAGGTAAGACAGGACCTTGATAATAAGTATAATTTTTCAAATTTGTGATCTGGGATGTTTATAATGGTTGAAGGTCAAAATACAGCCATTATCAAAAGTATTTTTGGTTACAACAGGCCATAATTGCAATCCATTCCTGCCTATGAAACTACCGCCAACGGCGGTCCAGCTGGGTCAGCTCGTCTGTGGTTCATTTTGATTTTTGATATTGTTGTATATCGTTATTCCCTTACTCAATGCAAAAAAATGAAATATGTGTACCAAGAACAAGAAGGACCATGCACATGGAGCATTTTTAACAGGCTTCTTGTTGTGCATAAAAGGCATGTTCATTCATGTTACCTATTTAACGATTGCAACTACTTTTCCAAACTTTCTATGATGCCGAAACATTTTTTCCTATCTTATATTTAGTAGTTCCGTCCCTGTTTTGTGTTAATACTTTTGCACTTACAACTTTTGAAAATTTGATTTTTTTATGTTAATGAGTAATGACATGTGTAGGTATCTATTTCCTTTTTGATTCATTAAGATGCTCATTGCTGTGATATGTGCTTCAAGTGAATGCACTAAGTAACAAATAATGATAATTATCCTTAAAATTCAGTTTGACTCACCACATGCAAATACATAAGCAATAGGTTTGGTAGGTAGTTACCAACCAAGTGCAAGTATGACCAACCTTGAAGTTGAATGTGGCCTCTGTCTCTGACTGCTGTCAGTAGCAACACTTTCTTTAATTCTTTATTGTCCAAAAGCCAAGAATATGAATTGCAATGATACAAAAGCATGTGAAGATGAATTTACTTTGTCAGAATTTACTTTGTTCAAAAGTCAAAATTATATATCAATGAATAAGTAAACACATAACAGCCTTTACCCGCCTAATGGAATGTCTATAAATTATAAAATAAGGGCAGAAGTAAACGTGGGATCACAAGCATTACTCATTGCACCATTTAAGACATCAGGCTAGGTAAGTGTGCCTACCTAGTTAATTAAAATTTACACAATCTTGATGAGTATGAAACAGTCATTTTGTGTTCATTCCGTCTGGTTTATGGCACAGGCATTACCACATTATTTTTACTGCTGTTTCAGCTGGTGGTATCTCCTGGTCCTGTGTGAGGTGCTACTCCATCTGCCATCCAGTAGCCTGCAGTGATGGACTCTGGCGACGTGGCGGCAGTGCCGCAGGCCTCCTACCACATCGAGGTGTCGTCGGCGGACGGCTCGACGCCACCGGCCGAGTCGGTGCAGTCGCCTCCATCCAGCGGCAGCAGTGGCGGCGCCGCGCGCTCGGTGGTGGTGTTGCGGGCCGGCTCGGACGGCGGAGAGGCGCGCGGCGTCAAGTATGTGCTCACCGGCGCGACGGCGCGCCAGGGAGCCGCCGTGGGCGTCACGCCCGTCAAGTCTCTGGCGGTCGGCCGACCACCCAGCGGTGAGTGCGCGATACCGACCGCCCAGCGGTGGGTGCGCGACACTGACCGCCCCGTCACGCTACTCCCGCACCAGTTACGCTGTTCAGTCTTTTGTTGTCCGTTCTAGGTTACTTTTGCGTCGTTATGCGTGTTTTATCAAAAAGGGATAGATTCTGCTGCTGTCTCCCTGACAGTCACAAGATCCATTGGCCTGATGAGTATGTGGAAGAACTGATTATCTCTACTGTGTTTGATATGTTTTACTTTTAGTGTTCATTTGATTCTTTCCAAGTAATTGTGCATGTTTGCAATTTAAATAAATTTTATTAGAAATTGCTCATCTGCAGGTACATGAGCTTCCTTGCAGAAGTATTAGTTACTTGTCGAGTTGCTCACTTGTTATACATTACTTGTTATTCGCTCATTACCTCTAACGTTTTTCGCAAGACTGCGCAGTAGTCGAAAACGCCATAACTGAGTAAATAAATATCCCTTTGTCAGGTCAAGCCACATCGGCGGCGCGGGCGCGTCAGATCCTGAAGAAGCGTCACGATCTCAGTATGGCGGAGAAGAAGTACACCAAGATGCTGCACCCGGACCTGAATGCGTCCGGCGCCGAGCTCGGCGACGGAGCGCAGTCGGGGTCGGCGCCGGTCATGATCTGTGAGCCGGAGCCGGAGGCGGGCGTCCAGCAGGGCCAGGCGCGCACCCTGTTCTTTGTGGCCAAGCCGCCGGAGGAGGCCATCAAAGAGGAGCAGGACGCCGTCCAAGAGGAGGCCGAGGCGCCGGTGCCCCAGCTGCCCGACGGGCCGGCGCCGTCCACAGACGACCCCGCCGACGAGCTGGGCGTGCTGAGACGGCTGGCGCGCTTCAAACTCTCGGAGCGCTACGAGATCCTGCCGGCCGCCTCGTTGGAGGACGCTGAAGAGATCATGCACCGGCTGCGCGTACAGAACCTGGCGCTCAAGACCGAGATGGTGCGGCTGGCCACAGAATTCGAGCGGCACGACGACGAGCACGGGCTCCGCTCGCGCCGCGGACGCAAAAAGCGCACCACCATCGTGGCCGTGGATCGTCTGAGGGAGCTGGAGAAAATCGAGGCCGGCATGCACACACTGTTCACCCCCTCCCAAGTGAAAACCCTCTCGCGTGACTACAAGAAAAACAGCGTCCAGTGGCGCGACGAGGATTTCCGTCGCGCGCTCGGGCTTCTGGAGCATAGCAATCAGCACACCTTCAACTATGTACGCAAGGTGATGAACATACCGCTGCCCAGCATCGGCACGCTGAAGCTGCGCTGTCCGTCGCAGCCGGAGCTGCATGTGCGCCTGGAGGCGGCGCTGCGCGAGCGTGGAGACATGGGCCGCAGCGGTCGCCGGATGAGCGGCCATGGCGCGGTCGGAGACGCCGGCGATGGCGTGGGCGGCGAGCACGCCTACCCGGAGATGCAGACCGACGACGGCCGCCAGGAGGACGACTGGATCGCCGTGACGCCCACGCGCGGCATCCTCAAGAGAAAGCGGTCCTCGGGCGGCGCGGCCTCGGCGCGCAAGGTGACGCACCAGGACGAGGAGGTGGTGTTTTATGAGGCGCCAACGCCGGTGGCGCAGCGGGGGCGAGGCCGGCGCGGCGTGGGCCGGAGAGGCGGCAGCAGTGCCAGCACGCCGCGCCACCAGAGGGGTCTGGTGGAGCACTACGAGCCACCGCCGCCGCCGCCTCCTCCACCTCCACCTCCCCAGGAGGAGGAGGAGGAGGAGGAGCCCGAGTTCGACGACGACGAGGAGGACGATGAGGACGATGAGCCCGAGGACGCGGAGGACTTTGAGGAGGAGTTTGGCGAGGAGATTGAGATCGACCCCGAGCAGCAGGAGGTGCCGGCGCATTACGAACAGTACCAGCCCGCGTACGAGGACGGCGACGGCACCTGGACCACGTGGGACCCGCGACAACTGCAGTGAGACGGCTCTGTCCGGTCGGGGCGCAGGTCAGAGTCCACAGCGTACATTGGGTGTGTGGATATCACATGGTTTGCCACGAGCTGTGTGGGCGCCATTGAGTGAGGTTGGGTTTGGCAGGATGCGAACGTGTAGTGCTCGGCGAGTGGTGTGATTGGGGAAAGAGGTATGCAGTTCACCACAGATGTCTGTGGTATATGGATGACCATGAGTACAACAGCCTGTCGAAGGGAGTGTGGCCGCCTGCATGCAGAGCAAAGGCTGGGCTCCCTATACGTGTGAATGATTCGTTTTTGCTATTTGTTTTTTATCCTTCGTCATATGCTGTCCAGCAAGCCGGGAAATATGTATTCCTTGGATAGATGGCAAGCTACGCGCTTTTCGTTATCTTATGTGTAGCTGTGTTCTTGATCTTGAGAAAGCAGTACGTTTTGTCTAAGTTTCCAAGTTTAATTTAAGGTCATCATCCATCGTCATTTGGGGATATGTGGGGTGCGGTCAAATACAACATGCTCATTGCAAAGTCACTTAGTTTTGTATTGTTTCTCCCCGCGATGTATGATAGCATTGCGCGCTGTTACGAACTCTCTGAGTCTGCACTGGATAATACCCACGCCCGCCGCCCACACATTGCGCTGACGGTATATCTCGGGAAGCGTGCTTTTGCCAACTCGTTGGTCGCGGCGAGCGTGTGGTCTGTGGGTCTGGGAGTGCGTTCGCGATACCTGCTACTATCTGTGTGTCGTTGGTTCATCTTTGGTGTTTTTTGTTTGATTTTGATTTGCTGTACCTATGTTGACGGCCACATGAAATATGAATACAATATGTGACTTTATTTTGTGTCTGCTGTTGGGCAGTCCATGCATAGAATCGGAGAAAACAGATAACTTTACACGGGTTGGCTGGTGATCCACGAACATAAGGGTAACAATACCTGAGAAGAGAGGTCAAGGTCACTCGTGGCTACCTGGCGCGTGCTGACTTGATTGCTCTTGGGTTTACTTTCCAAGTTCCAGCGATGGGTGTCAGTATACCAAAAACGCTAATCTTCAGTGGTAGAGGACCGAGTAACATGTTGCAAATCATGGGGGGGGGGATTCGTTCTTCGTGAGTCATTCTAAGAAACTTGACGTGATAAAAATTCGTTAATTTTATCTCTTGGTTCATCGGTCGCCGTCGGTTTCGCCACTTTTAGCTAAATAGGAGCAGAACGTCGCCCTCGGAACTATTGATCATATCACGCAGGTCAGTGCCAGGCGCCCTCGTAGATACGGCTTACGTAAACCGAATTCACTCCCCCCCCCCCCCCCCCCCCCCCAATGATCCGCCCAAACCTCTAACTTTAATGGCAGGTGTGTCAGAGAGAAAGTCTCATATGAATAGGCTGTGCTATATCTGCGCAAAGGCAAGATATCCCATATCAGCAGTCAATGTCCTGCCCCCAAAGGAGCCCTCTTTCAACAGAACTAGACTGGAGTGCTCTGACTGAGTTGGCATGGCGACCCCGTCCGCTGGCTTTATGTATAGAGTCGCTGACGGTGGCCACCCCAGTAGATAACGACGCGGCAGTCGCTGAGCGGGGTGGGTTCTGAAGACTGACTGCCAGCCTGTGACGACCAGACTCGACTTCAAGTCATCATATCAAGAACCAGGGTGAGTTAACAGAGCAGCTCAACATACGAACTGCCGAGAACAGCTGCCCGTCGGCTCGCTTCTGCGGCGTACAGTGATTTGTCCTATTTGATCGGGTGGGTCTCTTCTGCAACTGGACAATGATCGGCTGGTTGCGCATCGGTATGATGCTGGGTCTGACTCTGATCTTTGCCTTTCCCCTGACGGTGATCGCCAGAAATCGGATTATTCGGGGAGAGCCGATGATCATCCTCATACTGAACATGACCATTATTCTTTTTCTGTTCAGCTTCATGATTCTCGTCATCTCTAGTGCTGACATTCTGTTTGCATTTAACACGCCTCGGCTTCTCTGCGGTGTGTTGATGTCAGTTTCCTTGGGCCTCTTCAGCGGATTCAAGGTGTCGACCTTCTTCTTGGCGCTGGAGCAGTATATCGCTGTGGTCTGTGCACTGCGTCACTTTACCATCATGAGCAGATGGGTGAACAGGATGAACGCTCTCACATGGTTTTACATCTTCACCCTAGCCTCGGCCGGACTGGTCTGCGACCTTCTGGGACTCGAGACTATAGCCGACTTTGACATCCGAGTGTTCGGCAATGACCACCAAATCCGAGGATGCGACTGGACAAAAATACCGAATGCGTACATGGTAGGCGTCCAGGCGTGCGTTTCCCTTTTCTCCATGTTGACATGCGCTCTTCTGCTCTACACGGCCGTTCAAGGATGGAGGCACGAGAAGAGGATCACCAAAGGCGATGTCAGCCGCCAAACTCAGCGGTTTATGCTGCGCTTCAAGTCCTTCAAGCGTATCGTCAAACTGCTGGTTGTATTTCTTCTAATCGACATCATCGGCACGGCGATTCACATCGCCTCCCGATCGTTTACGCTGCCTTCCGCGTTTGAGAGCATCACACACGCTGGCAGAATCCTCTGTCTCCTCGTCGAGTACTGGGCGTACGGCGTTAGTAACACCATCATGCGAAAAGCGATGAAGTCGTTTCTGGGGTTTCGCCAGCGGACGGTCGAGCCCCAGGTACCGCCATCGCGGGCCCCGGAGCCGACTCCTCGTCACATTCAGTTAGACCAGCTCGTGCTGGCGGACCTGGAAGCAGCGCCCGGGAATTGAGACTGGCAAACACAGCTAGGAAAGTTGATTTGTGCCGGGTGATGTAGGCACTGAACAGGCACAATAAGTCGAACGACATTGTGAGCCAAACTATCGGGGAAAAAAATCCATGCATCAAGGCGGACATTGGGCACAGGAAATTGGCGAGCGAACCCAAACATGCACTCTGCAGTCCACACAGTAGATAAGGGAACTGTACACTTTCTTGTTATCAATATGCCTGGAGTATGATCTGCATGCCCGACAATGAAGACTCCAATAAAGTATTTTAACAATATACATGATAGGAGATCGCTGGCGTTGACGTTAGTACTAGTAGGCGCTAAATGCGAAGGATCGAAAGATTCAAAGGCATCTGTAGTTTTTACGTGTGCAGACAGAATAGAAAGAAGTGAATATTGATTAGGTTGATTTGTGGTTAGATTTGCACGTTCCGAGGCTCTCGGCACTAAGCGCTACCAAGTCAACTATCAGCTGACTGCCTCAATACCATAAAGCAGTATAGTTATTCAGTGTCATAAACGGTGCACTCCAGCGATTTGTAGAACACAGCTCGTCATCGTTCGTAAATCCACCATTTAGTGTTTTTGTCGCACATGAAATACATATTTATCATCATCACTGAGGCTCTCGATGACCCCTACGCATAGTGTATGTTGACACACAATATCTGACGACACATAAGCGGCTCTGTCGGCTAACACCGGCCTAAGTGTGACCTCGCGCTCTGCAATGAGCCAAAAGCACGGCAGCTATATCTGTTTGAGACCGGTTAACAGAAATATACCTACCTGTAACGCATTGTTATTTTCGTGACAGCGCTACGGAAAACGTAGTAAGACCTTTCTGTAGGCAGCCATTAACGAATACGATTGGGACGTATATTGCATTGCACTGAGTTGATAAAATAAGTCTCGGCATATATGAATAGGCGGCATACGTGCCCATAAAAATATGTATTGTCATCAAGTCATTCGGTCCAACAATCATTTCGGCAATTATAATAAATGCAACAACGAGTAAAAATGGCCATTACTGCAGTTGTAAAAGGCCCTGAACATTAGCGTAACTTAACCCGAAGTTTGGCAGTAAAAACGGCACTACATACACAGCCTACACAGTACCGTGATGCAGGGCATTAGATTTAGGATCAATGCCTGAGGATTTCGCATCTTGAGCTTTTCGCATTTTGCATCTGTCCTCTACCATTATTCTTACACTTGATATTTATACATACCGGACTGTCACTAGTTTGCGAGACTCGACCCTGCTGGGTCAACGTTGGACAGACGAATCTAGCTGTTCGTCACTGACAATATGAAAACGGTATCCGTTATTGAATTGAAGAAGACTGGATTTTGTTAAGGAAGAAAAATAAATTCCATAGATGGTCTCAGCTGCAGCTATTTGAGGCTAGCCCCAAATAATAAGCAAAGTTATTTCGCAATGACACCGGGATAACGGTCCCAAGCTGTCTCTCGCACGTTTATACCCGTGTTCAGGCATTGACGAATAATGTCAAATCACGAGGCGGCATATTCAACTACTGCAACTATGAAGTAGGTAAATTGTATAATTGTACAAATCTTGGTGGCATTCATCAGATTGGTGACAAATATCCCTAGCCGGATTGTTTTATGAAAAAAAAACAACCGCTTACAAACATACCAGTATGTTCCTGCTTGAAAATATGACTGGCTCAGCGACTTCAACGCTTCACATCCACGTGATTACGTCAGCACAGCCTTGGAAGGTGGCTATCAAAACGACTTCTTGCTCCGAGACAGTTTGCTGCACGTTATCTCCCACAGCCAGCGACGCTCCCTGCGGCTAGGCCGCTGGTCGCGGCTGAAACACAGAGACACCGGCTGTTACCATTACTGGGCAATATACGACACTGTGACACCGCCACTAGCGCGTATCACATAAAAACGTGCTATACTATACCATCCCCCCGTCCGTCGTCTCCATCCTCAGGACGTTCGAATCCTCCTCCACGCCACAACCCTCGCTCCGGGATGGACAGGCAACTTTATCTCATGCGGGCTGCTCCCTTGGAGCGGCACCGCTGCTCCGAAGGGAACATACCCGTAGCCGGGTGCAGTGAGTACTGGGGGCGGGGGGGGGGGGGCTGGTCGGCCTGTCCTTTGGGAAGGGCTCAGCCCCTGGTGACTCTAGGGAGCTCGCCCACACCAATGTCTCCTCCTAATTCCTATCATCCTCCCGGCTCTGCAATAGTCTCATTGGACCGAAAGAGCGTAACCCAACAAAACAAACAAACAAACTATACTATACTACACCATTTCTATTTATACTATTTGTTAGTACTCATAGCGTGGAAGTAAAAGTCCAGAAACAGGAGACCATAATACACGCTATACTAGAAATCTGCAAACAACAAATTCACAACAAACCACACAAGTTGGGGTGCTCAGTACATCCAGTGTGAACCAGGCTTTCACTCGCCAACCAACACCTCACCTCTACTAACGGGTGGTGTGACGTCACGCCGCTCATTTGGGCGTGATCAGGTACATGACCTCGTCAAGCACCTCCAGGTTCCAGGCCTTGAGTCGCTCCCAGTCGTCTACAGTCCTCTGCCGGCGGCCGAGACACTCCAGCTTCACGTACTCGTCTGGAACGTGCAGAGACGTCGTTGGTAATGAACGGGTGAGGCCAGTGGTAGCGAGTGACCGCCGTAAACGCACAGCACACGACGGCAGGTTACTGGTAAAACGACAGAAGGCAAATAACAAAGCTGAATTACTAGGGTGACCCGCGTGCTCCGCAACGCGAAAAGGAGGTATTTTCGATTGACGGGTGTTTGGTTGTTCTTGTGTCGGTTTGGTTATCCATCCATTTCGGTCGATTGCTTTTTGATGGCTAAATGATTTGGTTTGGAAAGAATATCTATCGGATCGAGGTGCCCGTGTCTGATAAGCATGCTTTCTACTTCAGAACCTGTCAATAGTTCAGTGAACCTGTCAAATGTGTTTTATAATTCAGGTGCGTAGTTTTTTGACAAATGAAAGGCGTAGATAATTTTCGCTAAAAATGGATTTGCAGAGGTTTGAAACATTTATATTTTTAAGAATACTATTGCTTGTCATGCAAAAATGATGAATGGATCTTGGAGAGAATTGAATGCTCTCTCTAATGATAGCATTTTCAACTGTCAAACGTATCAGATTAAGCAGCAAATCCCGTGTAATTATTTAGTGGCACATTATGGACAAATACCATTTTCATCAGCGATTTGCTCCACCTTGTTTTCGATCAATTAGCTTTTCACAATTTTATCATGAGAGGCGGTACATTTCTCCTGGGAATAGGCGTTGCTTTGACTCACTCATTCTGACGGTCACGTGAAAATAAAATAAGATCCAAAATCCATTTAAAACGGCACTTTCTGAAATAAAATTGCCCTCACGTGTGCACGTGGCGCGTGCCATCCTCCACACCGCACACCATTCGATAGCCCGTTCGATTCTCTACACGATGGTGTTTTCCCCGTGCCAATCGGGCCCACGGCTACCGAGATATTGCACAGAAACCGGACCCGTGTCGGGCAAATTTTGCCATTTTCGCCCGTTTTTGCAAGCCGATTTATACATGTAAAGTCTATGACGCGAATTTGCACTTTTTGGGCACGCGCCACGCGCTCGCTATCGACCCGATCGAGCCGAGACCCCTCAAAGGCACGTTGTCCATCCTTGTTCTATGAGTTGCGCAAACTTCAGCGCGGTAGGTGCAACGGTGTGACCTGTAACCCGCGCTACGTAGCACCATGTCGCGACCTTCGTAATAGACAGAAACTACGTCACCACAAATAGTAATATAGATGTGGCTTACGCGAAGAAAAACACCGAGAAAAGAGTCGAGACCGAACCCTGCTCAAATTTAGCGAGCACTGTCCGAGCCATTAGCTGTAAATCTGGTCCTCTCACTGCAGCCCTGGCAAGGCCTCTCCCTACAGCAACTGGCTCTCGCACTGTAGTTCTATAACCCTCCCACTGTAGGCAAACCCTGTAAACCGTGACCAGCCCATCAATTTCTAACGACACCCTGTTCAAATCTTCCATTGAGACCTAACCAAACCCCAGGCTCACCGAGGACATGCATCCCTCACTTCGCTCCGAGGTCCTATTTAAAATATCTCACGACGGCCATAGAATATGTCAACTCACCGAGGTCCTGTTTGATGTCGGTTTCGGTGAGCGCGCGCGGCGGCCCCGAGTATCGGCTGGTGTCGTACTCCACCGCCCAAAGCAGCCAGCGGCAGCCGGGGGCCATCACACCGCGCATGAACCGGCAGTACCTGCGATATGGAAACACAGTATGATGGCACCAAAGAACAGGTATTAACTGCGGCACGAATTCACAGTATGAGAACGAGATTGACAGGACGCGCCAGGGCCCAGGACACATGACATATCGACGTGACATTCAGCTACTCCATCGGTACTCGTCTCTTAGATCCACGACTAAGCGTCTTGAGACTTTAGCTCAATCTATTGGAAAGCTCTATTCGCTAATAGCGGAGTCAGCACGTTCGATAGGAATGGCAAGAAGTCTCCCGGATTTCGGAGTCTCCCGGACGACGAAGATTCTACGTCCTCCGGCCAATGTCGTTCAAGGTCGGCGGGGGGCTGGGCTGCGGTTATCGACCGGGATTGGCCGGACGACGTAGAATCCTCGTCGTCCGGGGAGACTGCGAACACGCCGGCTAAATGTGACCGCTGATTGTGCACTCACGCCGGCCGGTCGTCCCGGGTGATGGCCACATAGGATCCGCGGTCCCAGATGGCCTGCACGGGGCCGATCAGCTGGGGGTTCAGCTCACAGAGGTCCGCCTGGTACAGTCGCATCCGACCGTCGGCAGTCTATGGGAGGGCGGAGAGAGTTCAGACGCTGGACAGGGACACATTTAGGGACGGAGTTAGAGACAGAGCAGAGATTGTGACCAGTCTGACAGCCAGAGAAATTCAGACAAACACGCATAGACATTAGATATTAGATAGATAGACTTGAGGTCTTTCCTTTTAGTTGATCATTTGATAGTACAAGCAACGGAATGGAAATTCATTAAATAGTTACCTCATCTTTTCATCTTTCAACAAATTTAGCTGAATATCATATGAACCGATAAAAGTTCCTATTACTTACTGACATACAAAGCAAGAAAAAACATTGCCACACAGCACTTGCCTGAAAGAGGTTGCCAGCTTCTGTCGTCGTTTTGGTGAACTCCAGATTATTTTCGGTGAAAAAGTCCGTAATGGCCTTCTCGACGCCCTCGATTCCTATCACGGTATGCCCTTTGTTGTACAGCCTGTGGGGCAAAGATAAAGTCGGTGACTGATAAGTAATAATCTTGTCCAACATACAAATGCCTGCATTTAAGTCTGAACTCTGAAGAGTTAGAAACTCTGACGCTGCAGGTCAGGAATCAGTGAATAGTCAGAATTCACAAGTTTGGCGTCAGAAGAGTCAGTCAGAAGCGAATTTTGTTGAGCCTATGGCTCATCTCTGAAGTCTGAACTCACCACATCATGTCCAGTGTCTTGCCGCAGAGGGGCACCAGGAAGGCGACGGGCTTGTCGTCGCTGGCCGCCCTGTGGTACCACTGCTCCAGGTTGGGGTTGACGACCGGCATGTGGAAGCGAATGTTGTCGGCCTGCCACTTCTCGCGCCACGTGTCCATCCGGTGTGCGCCGGCCATGGCTGCTGGGCTGGCGGCAGGGAGAGGGGGCTGAGCTGGCGGTACAGGGAGGGGGCTGAGTTTGCGGCACGGGGAGGGTGCTGAGCATGAGGCCCAGTCACTAGCGGCACGGACATTTCATGGACACTGCGGCACTGGCGGGGCGCGGACTGCACATGGTCACAGCGAGGGGTCCAGCAGCCACAGCCAGCAGCCCACCTACACAGGTCACCGGTACGCCATTCGGGGCAGGAGTGGTCAGTGGAGGCAAAACTAACGGTACATGAAGCCAAGAATACCCGTCTAAAGAGTAAGGACAAGCAGAAGTAGGTATGCATCTTCGGAAAAGATGCATTGAAAGCAAGGCACTAATTTCATGCGATACAAGCGAAATAGAAACGAGCTAGGAGAAATAAAGCATGCAGAATTGGACAGGTGCAAAAGCAAGCTGCTAAGATGAGAGCAACAAAAAGGCGCTGCGAATATTGCGTACCTAACAAACTTTCGTAACGATAAAAGTCCGTTCATAGTTCATACACCATTAGCTTCAACCAGCTGAGCTAGAACATACTTCACAGCACTGCTGAAATAACTACAATCTTTGCTACGCAGCGTCGAGCAAATACAGCAAACCCGTCCCATCCGCACAAACTACGTTTGGCGATGTGGTAGGGAAGCCAGATGGTAGCGTAAGCCTAGCGGACCAAAGAACTGCAGGCTGCGGGTCGTACCTTTACTGCGTGATGGACTCATCAGCTTGGCACCTCCTCGTCAACACCAGCGCGATTATATCTCATTGAGTGCACATCGCACCTAATGGGGGCACCCATACTTATGATCACAAGGGAAACTATCGTGTTGCACAAAATAGGTTAATTAAATAGGGAGCAAGAAGGGCAAGAAAGTTTGTATTTCTTTCGGTCGGAACAAACACGTAACATCATTCATATGTACACCCAACACATTTCAATCACAAGCATGATGACGACAAGTTTCAAATAACGAAATAATGGTTGGATGCACTTGCTTTGGATCTAACAAGAATAGTCAGCTTATCATAACACACATCGTGCAAGACATCGAAACGTGATTCGACTTTCAAACAAATCTAGCCAATCTTTCGACATCTGTAATTGGTAATGGGCCAAAATATCCTGAAACAATGCATATAACTTTTAGTGACTGATAAGTGGCAAGAAGACATGCGAGTTATGAACAAACAATGAGTTCAATCAGTGAATCTTTGACAAATTAGTGATTCAAATAACAAACTATGCAAAAGTTCCTTACCGTGATCGTGTGGATCATGAGGCACAAAAATATTAGGATTATTCACAAATTAGCTCCTGAGTAACACACAGCCTGTTGTTACCGAAAGACATGGACATCTGAGCATACCTCCCAAGTATCTCGGACGCCGTCAGCTGACAGTAGCGATTCCACAGCCAGCGATAAGGCAGGTATCTCCATACCGTTTACCAAGTCCACCACTGGTCCCATCCAGCAGGTAGCACAGACAATGCTCGAGGTAGCAGCAGTCATTATTTGAGATCCCTCGGGAGTTTGTCGGCGTCCTACCGATCCCTGGGGCCAGTGACAACACAATCCCCCGCCCAATCCTAGATCCGCCCGCCGCTAGAGATGGTGACCCCGCCTGGTAGCGGACACACCGGACGATTGGCCCCCCTCCCAACGCGGCCGCGGCCCGTCCAAAACGTCCAGGATGTCCCCTCCGCCGCGCCAGTCGGGCCACCGCCCCGGCGACACGGCCGCCTCCAGCCAGCCCACCTCCGTCGCGGCCGGCGGCGGCGACGGCGAGCGGTGCAGCACGCCGGAGCGCGCAGCCAGGAGGTCATACTGGCGCAGCGGTGCGCCGCGTGGCGGCTGGGGCGGTGCGTCCAGCCAGCCGGTGCCGACGTCCGCGCCCGTGCTGGCTGCCTCGACCATCTTGAGGAAACGGATGGGGTCCTGCTCAGCAGAGTCCTCCTGACTGCTGGTGCAGACTTGCAGCACAAACTCGGCATCGTTCGTGTCTGTCTCGGGCTGGGATTCAGCGCACGGCGCGCTGCCGTCGCCCCGACCGCCGCCATCACCGTCCGCGGAGGCGGGCCCGTCTCCACGGAGCAGAGCCTGCATCAGCGGGCAGTCGCCCCCGGGCGGCGGCGGCGGCTGGCGCCGGTACAGCGCCACCAGCTCGGCGCGCTCTTCGTCGCAGACCAGCGCGCCGCCGGCGGTCAGCTGCTCCAGCTGGGCTCGCACCTCGGACAGCACCGTGTCCAACAGGTCCTCCATCCGCACCCCGCCGCCGCCGGCGCCCGGCGTCAGGCCCTCGCCCTCGTCCGGTGTGACCGGGAGCCGAGTAGCGCTGCTGAGCGGGCGGCGCGGCGCCGTCCAGTCTCCACCCGAGACCGCCGAGCCGCCAGCCGCGTCCGCCATCGGGACAGTCGCAGAGCAAGCGGTATCGGAAACACCAGCGGCCGGTCGCACCTCGGACCGTCTCCGTGAGGCCGAGTCTGTGCGGCACCGACCGTGCGACCCCGCAGCGGAGCCGGCCGGAGAGGCCGCACGTGCTGCCGACCGGCACGCGGAGTCGGCCCGGCTGCAGCAGCGGTGAGGGTCACCTCCCCTCGTTTCAGAGCGACATCGGTGCACCTCTGCGTCCGTCACCCGGGAGGATCGGCCGCCGCTGACGGGGGACGGCGGCCGGGCGGCGGAGCTGCGCACCGCCGAGCGGCCGCGCGGCGGCTGCCGGCTGTCGGCCGCCGAGCACGACACCAGCGGGGAAGCGTCCGAGTCTGAGCCGTCCACGACGCCCACACAGCCGCGCTGGCAGCGCGGCGCGGCGCCCGTCTGAAACAGGCTGGCCAGCCGGGCCTCGGCGCGGCGGCGGGCCTCCTCTTGGTGTCGCGGCTGGTGGGCCGAGCGTCGGCTGAGCGGAGACGACTGGCAGCCGCCCGGCAGCAGGCCGCCCACCGGCCGCCGCAGCGACAGCCGGCTGTCCGTCTGCTGGCAGTTGGGGTCGACGGGGCCGCGCGCGCCCCGCAGCAGCTCGTGTCTCACCGCGCGCCGGGAGGAGCGGCCCATGGCGCCGCACTCACCGCAGATACCGCCAGTCAGTCGCCCAAATTATTATAGTTAGCTTCACTGTAGGGTTAAGCTAATGCATGTGCTTGCTGGAGATCACAAGGTTTGGTTTGGCTTGAAATGCTGAGAAGACAAGAGATAGATTTCATGCAAAGCTCAACCACACAACATGCAAGGAAGAGGCAAATAGGTGGCTTGGTGTAATGCTTGTAAAAATACTGACATTTGCACAACAGCATAGACTGAAATCAATTAGTAGGGGAGAGTGGGGAAAGATGCCCAGGGTTTTACTATGTCATATATTATTCGAAAATGACGATCGGAAAGCAAAAACTTGGAGTTTCAACGGAAGCCGACATCATTTTTCTCCAAAAATATCACTCTTTCGTGCCTGAAATATGATAACTCTTTTTGCCATTAAGCATTTTCCTGAAGAAGTGAAAGGGGGCATCTTACCCCACATGGTGGGAAAGACGCCCCTGGCGTTGGGGAAGATGCCCCCTGCACTATAAGTGACATAAATGGGCACGTGAATCGCCTGAACGAATCAGTAGTCCCTTCGAGCCTGCAGTAGACACCAAACGTCATCGTAAGGGCCCTCAAAAGTAGTCGTAAGGGGCTTCAGAGGTCATCGTTAGGGCCATCATAGTCCAGCGCGGCCAAACAAGCCTCCATGGTGGCGTTCGGAGACCACTGTGGGGCCCTTATAGATCTTCATGATGCTTGAGGGCCCTCGAGCCCATCGTGGGGACCTCAGATGCCAGCGCGGCCTGTGGAGCCAACGTGGGAGCCCTCAAAGGATGTCGTGAGGGGCCCTGGAGCCAATAATGGGGCCCACAGAGGCCGTCGTGAGGGCTCTCAGAGTCAGATGCCGCCCAAAAAGTCGCTGTGTGTGCCGAGAGACCGGCATGGGGAGCACCCGACCGTACTGGACTCTCAATAGTCCCAGATCGGCTTTTGTCTCTCATCACAAGTATGTAATAAATGATTTGACGGACTGCTTGAAGGACAACCTACGGATTTAGGGGGGCGTCTTTCCCCATCAGGACAGGGGGCATCTTACCCCGAGGTACCGAAGTAACATTAAATCAGTACAATTTGTTAGCTATAAAACTACACCCTGAAACAAACTGTTTGGGGCACAGTGTACGCAATACGCATGCTAATGTATCACGACTATAGCAAGGGACGCAAAAATTATCTACTTTCTTTGATATTTACAATGTTTTGACACCAAAATATTTTTGAAAGCAGCAAATAAAGAACATGCAATCACCAGTCAGCCGTTGCCCAACTGAGCTTCGCAAATTTTTGTGCAGTTAACAAGGCAGGCTTCCGCTTTATGCTAAGAGCATAAATTTCCAGGTTCGATTCTTTGTTTCGCCGCTAGAGGGGGTGGGGCATCTTGCCCACCCTGGGCATCTTACCCCCACTCTCCCCTAATTAAGCATAAAAAAGGAGAGAGAGAGAGAGAGAGAGAGAGAGAGAGAGAGAGAGAGAGAGAGAGAGAGAGAGAGAGAGAGAGAGAGAGAGAGAGAGAGAGAGAGAGAGAGAGAGAGAGAGAGAGAGAGAGAGAGAGAGAGAGAGAGAGAGAGAGAGAGAGAGAGAGAGAGAGAGAGAGAGAGAGAGAGAGAGAGAGAGAGAGAGAGAGAGAGAGAGAGAGAGAGAGAGAGAGAGAGAGAGAGAGAGAGAGAGAGAGGAGAGAGAGAGAGAGAGAGAGAGAGAGAGAGAGAGAGAGAGAGAGAGAGAGAGAGAGAGAGAGAGAGAGAGAGAGAGAGAGAGAGAGAGAGAGAGAGAGAGAGAGAGAGAGAGAGAGAGAGAGAGAGAGAGAGAGAGAGAGAGAGAGAGAGAGAGAGAGAGAGAGAGAGAGAGAGAGAGAGAGAGAGAGAGAGAGAGAGAGAGAGAGAGAGAGAGAGAGGAGAGAGAGAGAGAGAGAGAGAGAGAGAGAGAGAGAGAGAGAGAGAGAGAGAGAGAGAGAGAGAGAGAGAGAGAGAGAGAGAGAGAGAGAGAGAGAGAGAGAGAGAGAGAGAGAGAGAGAGAGAGAGAGAGAGAATGTACAGGAGGAATAAGGTGCCCAAATAGGTACCCGCTAAGGCACAGAGTGAAGAGAAAGATCCAAAAAAGGGATAGATTCAGATTCAGAGAGAAAAGATACACACCAAATATGCCATTGCTGCTTCACGTAGATAAATTACACTAATATGCATCATGGATAAGTACAATGGAGCAAAAGGTTAAAAACTTAACAGTACCTATAGGAGAGATTTAGCAGTTCATTCATTTTGTTTGTAGAAATAATATCAAAATAAGGAATTTGTGCAACACAATCAGTCGGGCGCACTGTGGTATCTCCGATTCATTTATGGAGACGTTTCTATTATTGGAAACGTTTCCAATTTTGACTACTCTTCTGTTCCAAAAATGGAAACGCTCGTTCCATAAATAGAAACGCTAACATCTCGGCACATATTTTCTTGCCAAGGGTGGCTGGATTCGATGTATAACAACTGTTTCGCGTAAAACAAGCTCAGATACACCAAAAGCACTTGTCTTCTTGCATGGAAAGCTGTCGTATGCATTAAAATTCACGTCTTTAAAATGCTCCTGAATCGTATCCATTTATGGAGACTTAGTTTCCAAAAATGGAAACGCCGATGTTCCAAAAATAGAAACGCTGAAGTTCAAATGTGTGCAAACTTAGCTTAAATGTGTTTTTAAAATTCACATGCAACTAAAAATTTGATGTTTTGGGACTGGTTTAGCATCTCGGCTCTTGGCAGTTACCTTGGACGTCGGGTTCGATAATAATACCTTACGCGCCGCAACTTGAGCACATTCAAAAGTCAACTAAAACTAAGATTTCCCAGAAACTACTGGACAGATGTGGTCCAAAGTGGGCAATACATAAAGCGTAGATATCATTTCAATATATAAAATTAATATCAATGTTACACTTGAGCTAGAATGAAAAAATTCATCGTCAGAATACAACGGTATTTGGTGTGACGACGGTGCAGACCTTATTTCCATCCTGCTTTTTACGTATTTGCACGGAGATTTACGTTGATCCAAGCCTACGATCATACTCAGCACATTTGAAATATCATAAAATGCCCACTTAAGTCTCCAAATAGGGCTTTGCAACAACTTTCATGCGATTTAATCAAAGATTGACGACCACCAGGCCGCTGGTACACCGGAAAACGCAGCGTGAAAATGAATGAAAAAATGAAGTTCCCGGTGATCTGGTTGTTCCAATCAATGGGTCAGTCTTTCAGTAGTCTGTTAAAAACGTTATTTTTTGTTCGAAACATTCATAAATGTTATTATTTTCGATTAGAAAAACGTGTGAATTTTTTATCACGTCAACATGTTATAAGCATCGCCTCGTTCGTCAACTTTCGGTTTTCTGATCGGAAAGTCGGAGAACAGGAACATAAACTAGAATGCTGGCTGTCGATTGGTGGCATCCTGCGCATGCCAAATTGCACCAATCAATGCCCAGTTTGCTTTAAAGGTAGCGATGCACACAGCGTCTCCATTTATGGAACAGATCGTTTCTATTTTTGGAAACGGCGTATCCATTTTTGGAACATTGTTCCAAAAATGGAAACGTTTCCATAAATGGATCGGAAATACCACAGTGTGCCCGACTGCAATACAAGCACATGTAAATGCCTACCTACCTTAACATTTCATAAACATCAACTACAATGACACACCAAAACCTGAAATGAATTAACACTTTCAAAATTACATTTAGCAGCCATGGGCAATTGCAATGGCCGGCCATGGCTCTGCTAGCGCCACCATCACCAGCTGGCAATTAATAAGCCATCGCTAAGCCAGCACTAACCAATGACTACCCAACTTTTGAACACAGGAAGAAGGGCATGCGTGAGAGGCCAGCCCATTCATGAAATGGGAAAGTAAACAAGAAAAGTACCTACTAAACATTGGATGCAGATGCAGCAGATGAATTTCAAAATTACAATTAGGACAAAAATACACCAGCATTCCCACTTACCAATACTGTGAAATAAAACAGAGGGCAAAGGCAAAGTCAAAGTCCAGGAAGTATACCTAGGTATATTATTTATATGTAAACTGTGTATATATCAATATGGCAAAGTTGGGACAAACTTTGGACGACGGTGAAAACAGGGCGCCTGGGGCGATTTGATCAAGGTTCGTGAAATTCACACGTGACGTTTAGCATATAGAAGGCCCATCAGAGGGGGAGAAGCTCCAAATGTCACGTGACTAATATGCCCTCCGGCGCCCTGTTTTCACCGGCGTCCCAAACTTTTTGAGCACGGTAGGTAATAACGGCACAAATGTCAGGAACCTCCTCACGCGCGGAACTTGAACTCTTGGAACTGATCAAGAACTAATTCTATTGATTGCCTTGGAACTGATCATGATCAATGCCGTATTGAAGGAATCAAATCTTGAATCAAATCGATCAAATCCTTGATCAAGGCGATCAAGGCGATCAAGGCCATTTATTGAGGGGATGGTCACCAGCTTCAAAGACCACGTGACAAAACAGTTCAAAGCGTATAAATGACCGGCAATACATCACGTGGTACATTGCGAAAAAGACCAAAAAGACACAGGTAAATGACGTCAAAGGGAACCTGCTGTGAAAATAAAAGATGCTTGATGAAATTATCGCAAAATGATATAGATGAAAAAGATGATAGAAGGTGAAAGATTAAAGAAGGTGGTTTGTGCCAGGTGGGTGACGGCATGTGATCGCCTGTGCCCCGTGGGCGCATTTACAAATTGCAACCGAGCTCCACCGTAGGGTATTTTATTTCCGCCGTAGTGTATTTCACTTGGGGGATTTTCTACCATACATCTGCCTGAGCTTAGGGTAATTACAATTTGTCGGCGACGTTAAAAAAGATGCAACTTTTTTCGCAGTATAGGATATCGCATGTGCATATTTCTGCCTTTTTGGGTGCGCTTTTCCCTCCATCGGTTTTTCGTGAGTAACTCGCGTAAAAACCGTCCGATCGCGACGAAACTTTCAATACCCCCGATTTTATTAATTTTACACCTACCCTGAAAATTTCATGACCCTGACCCTAATGACCTTTGACCTGTGACCTATTTCTCGAGACCATGTTTGGCCCGAATCGCGATTCGGCGTATGTCGGCTCGCATTAGCCGCGCGGATGCTGTCTTCACGTGGTTTCAAGCGTTGAAACATGTGATATGATGCTGGTCCCATGCATTAGGGTGGGTGTCAAGGTCACCTGAAGGTCAGGTCTCAGCTCAATGACCTTTGATGATCTCGGTTCACTTTTTCGAGTTTTACATGTTTCTAGGCTAGTTTTTGGAGCTGATTTCGAATTTAGTAACCATTTGAACATTACAGGGGGTGTAACGAAATTATCCGGACACCTTTCTTCCCTCCGTAATTAAAAAGCAAAACAATCTGGTACTTTTTCTTTTTGACTTCAGAATCGTGAGTAAGATTGGGAAAGTAGGGAAAAGGATCAAGTGACTAGTAGACGCGTTTAATACATAGGGTTTGTTGCAAGCTTATATCCCAGTAAACATGCCGACGTCGGCCCGACGTCGGGCCGAGGCTCGGCCCGACGTCGGCCCAACGTCGGTTCAACCTCGGCCCGACATCGGCTGGACGTCGGATATGCCCGCATGTTCCGACGTCCAGCCGAAGTCCAGCCGACGTCGAGCCGACGTCGGGCCGAGATCGTTTGCCGAGGTTGACGAGATTGTTTGTCGTTGGACCGACGGGGCCGACGTCGGCATGTTTATTGGGACAACGCGCCAAAAATATCAACCGGCGGCGGGATTCGAGCCCCCCAGTCGCCGACGTCGGCATGTTTACTGGGACAACACGCCAAAAGCATCAGCCGGCGATGGGATTCGAACCTCGTGTCATTCGAACGCGAAGTTAGTGCGCAAACCACTACACCACGCAGCCAGCTAACGAGTTTGGTTTGTTTTGTTGGGTTATGCCCTTTCGGTCTGACAAGACCATTTCAGAGCCGGAAGGATCATAGGATGGAGACATTGGTCTTCTTGGCGAGCACCCTGGGTCCAGTTCATATAGAGTCCCTGGTCCCATTGCTGTTACGTGACACTTATTGGAAAGGGTGAGCCCACAATGGATTCATATAGCCACTCTTACACACTTGCACCGACGTTTCCCAAAGTGTCCCTTTGATAAGTGGCACTTTGGCAAAGTGACACTTGCCGACTGGCCTTTCTATATGAACTGGGCCCGGCCCTGGTGAGTTGCCGGGGCTGAGCCTGACCAAAGGATAGGCCGAGCAGCCCCCAAGCACTCACCGCACCCGGCTACGGGCGAGCTCGGCTTACGGGCAATCCCAAATGGGATAAAGTTTCCCGTCCAGTCCGGATCAGGGGGCTGCGGCGTGGAGGAAGATTTGAGTTTCCTGAAGATATTTTGAATACAGAAGCTCTTTATGAAACATGAAACATGTATTTTATATTATTTTAACGGTCAAAACACCGGCCGATGTCGGTCCGACGTTGCCCCGACGTCGGCCCGACGTCGGCTGGACCACAGCAATTGATCTCGGTCCGACGTCGGCCCGACGTCGGCTGGACCTCGGCTTGACGTCGGAACATGCGGGCATATCCGACATCCAGCCGACGTCGTGCCGAGGTTGGACCGACGTCGGGCCGACGTCGGCATGCCGATGCCGACTTGCCGACGTCGGCCGACGTCGGGCCGACGTCGGCATGTTTACTGGGATCTCCGTCCGTGATGTTGCAAAAGATGCCAATGGTGCTTAACAATTTACAAAATTATCCCCTCTAAATATTTGAAGACCACTGCAACGAAATTATTGCCAAATTAACGAGCTAGAGCCTCGTCAAATATATGCTATGTAAACCGGGTTCATTGTCTCTATGCTAGTGTCCCATCCTTGGTCCCATAGGCGGCGGAACGGGGGGGGCACCGGGGCACCGTGCCCCCCTTGAATTCTGCAAGGGGGGCACCAATAGCAAGGTGCCCCCCCTTAAATTTGATGTATTAGTACCAGAGGCGGATTCGGGAAAACTCCAAGGGGAGGGTCATGAATCGAAGTGGTGCCCCTACCTATGCCCAAAATTAAAACCTCAACGGATTTCGGCCACTTAATTTTGGTGGTGCCCTATTTTCAGTTTTTATTTTATTTTCTTTATTTTTGGTTAGTCATGTTATGACTGGTGCCCCCTGCTAGGCCGCAGGTGCCCCTGGAAAGACTGGTACCTACCTTACCCTGCCCCCTGACAAGCCTACGGTGGGCCCTGACATGACTTAGGTGCCCATGGGCCCTGACAGGTCCGTAGTGCCCCTGACAGGCCTGTGGTGTCCTTGCTGGGCCTGTGGTGTCCCTGGGCCTTGGCAGGTTTGTGATGCCCCTGTTAGAACGCAGGTGCCCTTGACAGATTTGTGGTGCCTCTGACAATCCTAAATTGCCAACGACAGGCTTGTGGTGCCCTTGACAGGCCCATGGTGCCCTTGCGAGGCCGGTGGTTCCCCTGCGAATCCGATAGTGCCCCTGGCAGGCCTCTGGTGCCCCTGGCAGGTCTGTGGTGCCCCTGGAAGACCTGTAGTGCTTTTGCTAGGCCGATGGTGCTCCTGACAGACCTGTGGTGCCACTGACAGGCCCGTGGTGCCCCTGCTAGGCCTGTGGCACCCCTGGCGGGCCTGTGGTGCCCCTGTCGGCTGTCAGGCCTGTGGTGCTCCTGGCAGGCATGTGGTGACCCCAGGCCCTAAGTCATGACCCATATGACCTCCACCCTGGGATTCGCCACTGATTAGTACTGCAAAGGCTTCTTGGTAATTTGATACCTACCTACATGTAGGATAAATGGAATTTCTCAAACGACAATAAGGAAGGGACAAACACATAGGTACTTGAGGATCAGCTTAAAGTTAACCACACATACGGGCAGGGGTGTAATTTTCCTAAAATGATTGTGGGTGCCCAACTGTAGGGGCGCCCGGCGCCAGGCCGTTTTGGGGCGCGATAGATATTCTTTATGTGGGAGCCTAAATTAACACCGAACTTGATAACATTGCTAGCCGAATGGCGCTTCAAGTGACGTGTCTAAGCAAATACACGCTTAAAAGTGGAAACTGACCGGAAGGACGTAAAAAAGATGTAGAGAGGCGCCATCCAGTAGGAGGGGCACCAAATGTGGAGGTGCCAGACGGTTACGACTTACGAGGGCGCCGTGAGACGATGAAAAGGGCGCCATTCTCTTAGGAGAGCGCCGAGTGATTGAAAACGCTATGTGGTCCAGGGGCGCTAAGTGGCCAGAAAGGCGCCGCACAGTCAGTAGTGCTACGTTGGTGGGGACGAGTGGGGGCGCCAGATGGTTACGAGGGCGCCTTGAGATCATGAAAAGGGCGCCATTCTCGTAAAAGGGTGCCGAGTGATTGAAAACGCTATATGTGGTTCAGGGGCGCTGAGAGGCCAGAAGGGCGCCGAACAGTCGAGGGATGCACGGTGAACAGAGACTTAACCCTCGCATGTGTAGGAGGGGGGTCGGATGGACCCCCCCCCCCATGGTTTTTCGCGAATAACTCGCGTAAAAAGCGGCCGATCGCGACGAAACTTTAAGTACCCTCTCATTGATCAATTTTACACCTACCCTGAAAATTTCATGACCCTGACCCAAATGACCTTTGACCTGTGACCTCTTTTCCGAGACCATGTTTGGCCGGAATCGCGATTCCGCGTATGTCGGCTCGCATTAGCCGCGCGTTTGCAAGCTTTTCGTGGTTTCAAACGTTCAAACATGTGATTTGATGTTGCTCCCATGCATTAGAAAGGGTGTCAAGGTCACCTGAAGGTCAGGTCAGGTCATTGACCTTTGGTGACCTCGGGTGACCTCGGTTCACTTTTTCGAGTTTTACATGTTTCTAGGCTAGTTTTTGGAGCTGAATTCGAATTTGGCAACCATTTGAACATTTACGAAGTAGTTTTGGTGCCTTCGTAACATGTTACGAAGCTGTCAGAGGCGGTTGACACGTACTACGAATACCCGTCACAACCCCTACTGGTTGACCTGACCTGACCTGACCCGACCTGGTCTAAATGCTTAAAGACATCATCTGTGATCAAAACTAACACGATATTCGTGATCAGCACCCCGAAAAACCCCTTAGCAGCCACGCTTTACGACTTTCTAATAGATCCCGATATTGCCGGCAATAATTGCAGTCTTCTATCAAATGACAAGCCATGGAAACGACAGCGCAGACGATTTAGCTATTTCTTCGCGTCCGTAAAACAAACCATCTAACCAAATCAGACCATAACTTGCAAACACAAAAAAGAACAAAAATCTTAAAACCTTAAACTTGCAGACAA